AAATAAATTTTTGAAATTTCAGAATTTTTGTAGGTAAATATACCTGTAAAGATCTACAAATAAAGATGTACTATAAATAATTTTAAAAATTACTATTTAGTATATAAAGATTTTTAAAGCTTATTATATTTTTTAAATAAGATAAATCTAATAGTAGTTATAAAAATTGGAATAAAATTGATCAAGATGTTAATTTAAATCATTTAAATCTTTAATTAAAATTTCAGATTAAGTTAGATTAATTGTTAAACTTAACCTGAATTTTCATATTAGATACTTAGATTATTAGATAAAATTTGAGTTCTACTAAAGGATTTAGAAAGTGTTAACATCTTAATTTGTATATTAAAATAGGATAAATATTCTTAATTTTCAAATATAATTAATAATTAAAGGTATTTTAAAAGGTTTTTTTTTTTTTAAAAAAAAAAATTTTTATTATTCTAAAACATTTAGGATCAATAATATATAAAACCCAAAATATGTTAGTCTGTGACTAAATAGGTAAAACATTCGGCCGGCACTACCTAAAAAAACTATTTTTTGCAGCTACTATTATTTCAGTTAATTATAAAAAATTTTTTTATTCCAATTCTTTGAGGGTCGGAAAATGTACATTTATTAAATGGTTCTACCTGATAAGTGAAATAGGAGATAAATTGTACTAAATATAATTAATTACCGATTAAAGGTGTCAAACTAATTCTTTTTTCGACTTATCAAAGGCTACATCCACTTGAATATCCAATTTACCAAATTTGTTCTCGATATGATTATAGGACAATTCCCAAATCAGATCCGATTAGGTACGAACTTTGATGATCTTTTAAAAAAAAAAGAGCCGTTCTAGTAATAGTAAAGAGCGTAAATCACATATTAGCCGAAGCGTACGATAAAGCGTAAATATGGATTAGCCAAAAGCGTTCGACATCCCTTTCCATTAGAGTTAGTAACCATCAATTGTAACGAACATGATAAGAAAAATTAAATTCTCGACTTCTCTGGTGCAATTGTGCGCACTGTCCTTCAATGATTTAAACAAATATATGTTTTTTTGACACATTTGGTATTAAAATAATACGCGTTAAAAAAACTGGTATTTTCTATCTCTAAAAGGTTATAAATATCATTTTAACAATCTATATTAAGACGATTTAAAAAACCGATCTTATAATCCCGTTCCTAAAAAGACCCGATCCCTATGACCTGGACCAATGGTCTTTCAATAGTCTTTTTTCGGTCTGGATCGGAACCAATCATTATCATTACTTACAATTTCAGTTTTTAAGAAAATCCCCAAGGTTTTCAGTTCACATCATATTAGTCGATTAAAAAAGACCCCATCGAATATATAAAATTAAAGTTATTCTTTCCTTTCCTTTTTTTTAAAAATATTTTTATTTTCGTAAAATAATCAAAATAGTATGAACCCTGCTAAGAGAAATAAGATTGACCTTGATGTAAGTTTTTTCACTTTTTTTTTAAAAATTCTTAAAGCAAAACTTCTTCAAGTATAAGATTTGATATATGGGAAAATTTCTGAATTTAATTATAAAATTTTTTTATTACTAAATGGTCTGAATTTCTTAATAATAAATAAATAGAAATTAACGGAAGAGGAAAAAAAACTCTTCCGGATGTATGGAAAGTTGCCAACTGGAAAGGACCTTTTATCCCATAAGTTAAAGGTAACTTGTGAATTTACGTTATGACGACAGAAATGAATCTTGAAAAAGTCAGGCGTGCAAAGTGCTTAACCTTTATTCCCGGAAACTGTTAATATTCTTTACAATACGTTATAATTCGTTTATTTTAAATTATTAAAATCATTTCCTTTGATGATCAGTCAAGAAGAAGATGTTTTGACTTTGAATTATATTATTATTAATGTAGGAGCGAAAGTACTTTGACTCTGGAGATTATGCTCTTTCCAAAGCTGGAAAGACTTCGGGTCCTGTTGGTGTTCAACACCCTTCTCCTGAAACGATTCCTCACGCCAATGCCATCGCAGCTACCACTCATAATTCTTCTCCTGTAAAAGAAAGTTCTCTTGTACACGAGACTGAAATCGAAGAAAAATCCGGTGAGCAAGATGCTCAAGTTGCGGATGCAGTTACTCAAGTCGCTTCAACCTCCACATTAAATCCAACATCTGTTCCTGCGACTCCGGCACCAACACCAATTCCGATTTTAACAGAAGGAACATCAAATACATCAAATTTTAGTTCAGCAGAAAAGTCAAGCAATAAATCATGATGAAATATAGAATATTTATTTTATTGTTTTTTTTTTTATATATATATATATATATAGAAGCAGATATTTAAATGTGATAAAATATCGATTGATAATTGGATTTGAATAAAAAGAATTCAAGGCCGAAAAAGAATTCTCTCTCAAATTCCGTTACTATCATTTTCTTATGTTCTTTGTTCCTTCTAATTTTGATATGTAAAATTGATCTGTTTCTTAAAAACTTATTTAGGAAGAACAATTGTTTCTTTTTCGTTTTTTCTTTATTTTCTTTTTTTTTTATTTTTTTTTTTTTTTGGAGGAAACATGTATATCTTTAAATCTCTTTAATAAGAACAATTTTTTCTTTTCGAATACGCATCTAATTATATCGATTTTTGGAATATATTGTCTTCTGTAAATAGGGCGAATACCTTTTTATGAAATAAAAAGGGGTGGGAGAGAAAAACTTATATTTGCAGCACATTTAAAAGTCATTTAAAGTGTTGCGAGATTTTATATTAAAAAAGTTTTTCTTTTGTTGATGGTTTTAATAAAATTGGTTGGTATTATTATATAGTGTTTATTAAAGAATTAAACCTTTATTGCACGAATTCATACGACATGAATATTTTTTTTTAAAAAAGAAATTTTTTTTTTTTGCACATTAATTATCAAAAAGAAAAAAAAAAAATATATATCTTCCAACATATTATAATTTAATCAATTTTTTCAAGGTATAAAAGAATTAAATTTTGGATGATTTTATCTATAAACAAAAAAAAAAGGTAATATTATAGGAATTGAATAAATTATCAAATAAAGGAAAACGAGAAATCGAATCTAAGATTACTTAATAAAGTTTTCTTCAATTAAATAAATTAATAATAACGATAATAAAATTTGAAAATCACAAAAGAAGAAATTTTAGTAAAATTAAAACAAAAGTTATTCAACTTTTGGTTGTATTTTAGCTTTGGTAGCAGTAGCTCCTTTCTTGTAAGTTTTCTTATAAAATCCAATGAATAAAAGCAAATAGCTACTCAAAAGCGCACATCCAAAAATGGCAGCACTCTCGCTTCCGGCGCATGAACCATAATTTGGCATCCAAGGCCAGTAGGTAGCAGTGAAATAAGTGTAAGAACAAAAATACACAAAGAACAGATCAATTATAAATTGAACTATTTGCATAGTTGTGAGATATTTTTTCCACCAAATCCTTGCTCCTCCTGCAGCTCGGAAATAATAATAATACATAAACACATGAACTAGGAGATTAAGAGTGATTGGAACCCACGACTGTAACAATATGATTCATTTTTGAATGAATTTAAAGTTAATAAATGGATCACAACGAAAGAGAAAAAAATTACGAATATTTTAAATATTTTCTTACCACCGAAGTTGTACCTTCCAATTGTGAAAAGCATAAAGCCATCGTCATACTATGATGATAGACATGTAGAAATTCTGAAATAAACCTCTTTATTGTTAATATCAAAATGAAAAATAATCATCGTGAATAAACGATCGAGATATAAACTCACCGAGTTCCTTTTTTTTCAAAACTAAAAAGACAGTATCAATTAGTTCCCAATACTTTACTAGATAATTAAGATAATATAACAATTCTAATCGTTGAGTCCATGCATCATTGTTACATACAGCATAAAAAATTCCATTACGAAATACTATTGGAATCAATTGCTCCGCAAATAGTATCAGAAGCGCAAGCGAAGACAATGTCAACAATAAATTGTGAACTTGGAAAATAAATCTAAGTTTGATAACTGTCCGATTTTTCATAAATACTTGTCCTCCAAATACAATAGCAAAATATGTAATACATGCAATTACAACTTCGTATCTAGTGGAAAGTGGAGTAACTCCTTCAGTAAATGCGAAATCATTTGGATTTTTCCCTGTTACTAAGGCATAAGCTTGTCTAAAATAGTCATCAAAATAAATTCCAAAAGGACGATCTAAGGAAAAGTGCAAAGTCGGGTTCCTCAAAGTAGCCATATGATTTATCAAATTTTATATAAACCTTTTGAAAAGGAAAGAAACGTATATATAATATATTAAAAAAAAAGATAAAAACGAAAAAAAAAAACAAAATTTATTAAAGATATCAAAGGAACGCTTACTTCAAAGCGTTATATTTCGTGAATCTAATAATGTTTATAAACCTGATAAAAACGAGAAAAAAAAAAAATCATTACCTTACTTGAAAGTTATTTTTATGCTAAATAAAGAAAAAACTTACATATAATACAAATTAAATTTCGCGGGGGTCTTTAAACCAAAATAAAAAAAAAAAAGGAAAGAAAAATTTTATATTAGCAAAACTTTCAAAATTCGACTTTCAATATTGATTAAAGTGGCTTATATATATAACTCATTAAAAAAAAAGTGAATAGGTTAAAAAATTTACTTTTTTAAATTTGCTTGCGCAAATTCCGTGGCATACGCTAATAGGTAAATGCAACATAAATACTTTTTGGTTTGTGGTTGTAATAAAAAATTTGTCGATGGACAACGGATTATCTTTTATAAGAATTTTTTTCCGATAAAAAAGGGTATCACAAAAAAAGTTTCTCACATTTTCCACATGTAAACCATGCAAAGCGTCATTGTTGGGGCTTGTCAAACTTTCATGTGAGTTTAATCATGTGATTATATAAGGGCAATGACATTTATTAGAGACACCAACCCAGGTAAGATTTCTGATCACGTGCATGTTAATTAATTTCCTTTTATAGAATTTATATATCAGTATATTATATCAGTTGTAAAATATCAAAATGATTAAAAATGATAAGTAAAATAATAAAATAGAAAGTTTATTATGCAATAGTCTATTTTACATTTAAAAAAATATATATTTAAAGATTTTAAGTATTCAAAATCCCAATCTAAAGAAAAATATGATGCTAATCATTTCTTTATGGTAATCATATCTTACTGCATATTACTGCAAAAGGAATAATTTTGCATTCTCTTGCTATAAAAAAAGAAATTCAAATTGCTGCGAAGGAGAAATATTTTGCTACAAAAAAAGAAATTCAAATTGCTATAAAGTTTCATGACATGCTTCAACTTTCACATTTTGATTATAAAAACTTTTTTTATAAATAAACGCATCAATAATTTTATTTTCAGTACAAAAATGAGCAATCAAACCTTCTTTGTTAGCCTCAAAATTAATAAGAAACCAGTATATAATTTACCAACAAATAAATACCAAGAATTCACCAATGCTTATATATATAGTATTATGATTAAAACAGGAAATGGTATTTCCAATTGTGCTGAAGTTTATGACGTAACAGCAAAAGAATAGAGCAAATCAAAAATAAGAATAAGGTGAAAATCGAAGATATTATTAGAGATTATCTGGCTACACCATATAATCTATATAATATATTAATAATGAGACCAAGGTCTTCTGTGCTTAGAGAAACTTCGACTCCTTCTCTTTTTACTCTACCTATGATTTACTGAGTTGATCCTGTATCAGACATTTCCATCAATACATCAGTACAAAGAAGGGCAGCAAATGAGTTATTAACAGCCGAAAAAAAGCTTGTCAAATTTAAGCAGATCTACAATATCATAGCAGATTCTTAATTTTGGTTTAATACATATTTAAAAATTGAGAGTCTTCGAGCTGAAATCAAATCTAATAGAGAAAGAATCATTAAGTTGAAAAAGAATGCTAATTATGCTCAAAAATGCAAAGAAAAAAAAAGAAAAACACTATCAAAAACAAGAAGGTAATATTATATGATAAATCTGGCTGTCTTCCACTTCTTTTTGAATATCTGAATTTATACGATCATATCCACAATTTGATTGAATTTGGAGCAGCTGATGAAAAATGACAAAAAGGAGTGGTTAAGATGTAAATCATTGAAAATTTACGCAAAAACTTTGAAGAGAATTATAATGTTTATATGGTGAGAACAACATTGAACAATTACCTGCTGCTTCGCCAATCCAACTTCATTGCTGCAAGAGCACATCACCATTCAGTATGGGTCATGGTAGTTAAAGTTACATATACTGAAATATAGGACTATCCTGATGATCACTATTGTCTTGCATCTGTTAAATGCGTAAGACAATTTGTCATTGTCTTTACTGATAATTCCATTATTATTTCCCAAGATGATAAGGTAAAGATAAGACTTAGAATATTTGTTGTAAGTTAGATATTTCACACATTGCAGTCAATTCACAAGCCTGTTAGTGTGATTGATCATGATTTTCCTTTAGAAAGTGAGTAAAAGTTAGTTCTATCAGTTTATCTTATGATCAAATCAAACGAGTTAAATGATGAGTTAAATGATGAGTTACGAACAGGATAATTTACCATTTTTGTATGTCATCAATAGTCCTTTGGTACGTCTTCACTCATATACATATAAGATCTCGAAAGCCTTATTCTAGATTCTCAATATGATGATATGTTGAAAACCAATGGAAAAACTCAACCTATCTGGGTGTTATTGGTAGATGAAAGACTAGACGAAAATCTGAGACATCTAAAAAATATTAAAACTAATGCTCTAAATGATTCAGTTCAGTCCAGATTATAGGCCAATCTGAAACTGAACTGAAAATTTCAGTTCAGTTCAGTTCAGATTATAAATCTTAAAAATGCTAAT